TGGTCTGTGAGCCCCACGTCCTCTTCCGCTGGGACCCTGGGGGATAAAATCACGTCGCGGACACATCTCCTGCGTGAGGAGACGGTGGGAAGCCCACCCTGCCCTTCGGCGGAGCGAGGAGGACACTGTAACCCGGCCCACTGCGCAGAGCTGCTCCGTGGCTTCGGCATTTTTTTGGGAAGGGGGCGGTGGGATTTCGCGTGCTCTGCGTCCCCAGCCTTGGAGGGGACGGTGTGAGCAGCATCCAGGTGGGTTTTGTGAATCTTTATGTTCCCTCCTCTCCGTGCAGATGCTGAAATGGTGCTGAACAACGAAAATAAACCTCTCCCCTTGAAAGACTTCGCTGCACCCCATCTGCTCCGCTCGGAAGGGACAAAGCCACTGCCGCCGGGTGCCAGGAGGTGGGTCTGGGCTCAGCTGTGCCCCGTCGTCCTGGCAGGAGCTCGTGGGGAGAGGAGGAGGAAGGCTCTGCCTTCGTGGTGCTGCGCCCCGCCCTTATTTGGGAGCAGGAGGGGGCGGGGACAGGACAGGAGGCGGTGGGCACAGGACAAAAACTTGGGGTAGGGCTGTGCCAGCCCCCCCGGGGTAACATTTTTGGAGCTGGGGGCTGCTCTGACCAACCTCATGGAGGCACAGCAGGGGTGGGGGCCGGACTCCAGTTGTGGCAACACTTTTATCTCCGAAGAGAGCGTCTGCCAGGGAACCCAGCTGTCTTGTCTGCAGGGGCCTGGGGACTGGGCTGCCTCCTTCCTGCCCGGAAAAAAGGCGGCATCGCCCCGCTGCAAGGCTTGGGCTGCAGATAAATTCTGCTTGAGCTGCCATCCTGGTGCTTCTCTGACGGCTCAGAGGCAGGATAACGGCTCCAGCAGGATGAATCTGTATCCCTCTGGCACGGGGCAGTCGGCAGAGCTGGAGCAGCGGGTCTTACAGCCTCCCGTGCATCTCGCAGGGTCGCCTTTCTGCGGTGGGAGTTCCCCAGTTTCAGCAACAGAAGCAAAGACCTGCTGGGCCGCTACGTCAGTGGTGGACGTGAGTAGCCGCAGGGGTCTCTAATTCCATGGAAATAGAGGAGCAGACACCTTTGCGGGGGTTACCAGCCTCCTCGCTCCTCTCGCCTTTTTCCTGCTGCCTCTGGGTCCCG